TCTTTTAGACCGTTTGGTGATGTGAGCTCTGCATGTATATAAGGAGTTCAGGCTGTTGAACCTTAATTTTCGAATAGGTTGGGTACGCCCCGAAAGACGCGTTCGATGTCACTCCGCTGGTCAAGACTATTGGAATCTGTGCTCGGGGTGGAATTTTGATTGTTGATCCTACAAAGTATGTAGATGCTTTGACGCGAATGTCTGTCAAGACTTATATAAACATTTCAGCATCGCAAAATCTACAGTTACTATAGTGCCTGACTTTACAAACGCTAGCACCAACCAACCGATGGCGAATCTCAAATCTCGAGTAGACGGGGCGAAACCTTTGGGACTCATTCGAAGTGATGCCTCAGAACTATTGGTGATATATGATAGTCAGCGTGGTTCCTCATAACTCAAGTTAAGTGCACTGACCCTTTCTAGCCGTAGGATGTTACATCACAAAACACGGAGCCCCAAGTCGTTCATCTGGTTACATCAAATGGGAATCATCCAAGATTGATTCCTTTGCTCGACGCGGAGGCCACGTCCTCCTATTCTCCTCTCAATTCATTGAAATCCGAGATATATTGACTGGGAGAATTGTTCAAGTGATTGAAGGGGAGGAGGTTAGGCTGTTACATTCTGGTCCAACGCCGGATAGTCGAGAGGCTATATTGGTTGCAATGCGGGGAGAGAAGGGACATGATACCAAGAACGGGCTTGTTGAGAAGATTGTAGAGTTTCAGGAAACATCGGAAATTTCGAGCAATATGCGTACCCCAACTACGGCTATGCCTGCATCGATGTGGGAGGAGTGGGATATGTAAAAGCTAGTTGGTTCTTTGCTCGCATCTTTAGTATTGTTAATGGTAATTTAATTGGAGGATGTTGGATATAGTAGTTTTGTTTGTACTTCTCACAGAATCTTTGCTCAGTCCAGAGTAGGGTAGGAAGAGCACAAATTATTTTTCCGAGGTGAGCACTACGTTTTCAATGATTTAGGTGCTCTTGGGTGATTTGATCATGAATGCTGCTGGTATTCTCCACGACGACGTGAGATTCAACTATGTCTTTGAAGCCATACCCACCCCTCTTCCCTATCCCAAACAACGGCTATCAATCTCCGGTCAAATTTGCCCCCGACCCAAGCAAGTACACTGTACAGAATTATTGATTTTGACTCGGCGTATAGAACACAGGGAGTTCGGTTGATCAATGGCACTCTTCAGATATCCAGAACTCTGCGCTGGAGGAACCGCCATTCCGGGGAGAACCCGGGAGATCGTACACAGGATATAACTTGTAGAGTTTGGTGGGCCTATTCTTTACTCGATGTAACATCTTCCTGCTCAGCAGCTTGTTCGCGTAGACTGAGCTTTACATCAGCTACTGTAAACATCTTGTTTACTTACGAGACTATGGCAGCCCCCCGTAATTCTCCTTATATACGATCCGGATGAAGAACTGGTAACAATTCTTAAATCTACTCGCGTAGCGGATATGCCGCCGGATCGTGCGTGTGTACAGGCTTACAGCTGCTCCCTCGTTCTGACATCACTGCCGCTGGTGCCTCGTAATACAATACCATTTTTACCATCAATGTTTCCGATAGAATTTCATTTGCCTCTATCCGGGTTGTCACCTCTATTCCGCCTGTATCAGTGTGTCAGTATTTAAGGACGGATTATTGTATTATAACGGGGTTGGTATGATGATGCTATTTTTCGTTTAAAAGTAGACAGCCTGAAGGGCTCGCTGGTTTCTTGATCATGACCGCAGTGTCATTCCTCCATGCTAATTTTGCAGTTCTACCGATTGTCTCGCTACTTTATGGTGCCTTTGTGGTTCTCTTCGTAACTTCAATGTCAATTGGTGTGTATCGACACTCGCGACGAGATACTCAGTTACCCAGAGGGAACAAGAAGGCAGTACGAAGAGCACGACTGAATTTCCTGAAAAGGCCACTCTCTATGGGTAGCATGGCCGTATTCTGCATAATCACAGTGGTTGGTGGATCGCTACCCATGATAGTATAGCACCGCTGAGATTTTCTTCAAAAGCATTTTATCAATTCATTCACCCGTTTCTTTGATGCAGTGGTGAATTTTGAGGGTGGCAAGGCCCCTTTGTTGTACTATAACGACCTTTCCAGGCCGTCGAACCTTCTCAGAAACGGTAGCTTGCTAGCATCCTTGATTTTATGCGATGTCATGATTGTCTGTGAATCTCTTCAATCGTCTTATGAGCTGCTGATAACCATGATCAGATATACAGAGTTTATGTCATTTGGGGCTATAACATAGTGGTCATAATCCCTTCTATTCTGTCTTTGACCGGGTTCACAGGTATATCTATCCCATGTTCCTGAGTTTTAAGTTCAAAATCTGGCACAGTTTGCGCGATTGGTGGAACATACGAGTTCAGTCGTTTTGAACCAGGGATGAACATTTTCGTATCGATGGCCAAACATTGGGTAGATGGGGATGCATTCTTTACCCTCGCGTACGTATACAGCCATATCGAAACACCCTAACTTAATTTCTCCTAGAACAAACCTTTACAGCACTGGTAAGTACAGTTTGTGATGCGACTCGGAAATATTTTATGTTGACTTCGTCGTAGTTATGATTGCATGGCGCATTTGGTCAGTTAACAGAGGCATTAAAAATCTGTCAAATAACAGGAATAGCTTGATGGTGTGCTCACATAATATCATCTACCAGTTGAATTGAACTTACGATTACTCTAGAGAGTTCTTTCGATATTCGTTGAGAGCGCGGCGATTTACACGTATGTGCACAAGCCTAGAATTTTTGATGAAATCCATTCGAAACATCTATCTATCAGCTCCTGGGCACTCATGTTTATCATCATATATGCATCGGGTTCGAATCTGCAATATCCAGCTGTGGATATGGGTCCATCTATAGCTGGGATCTCGTTCATGCTGATTAACTTGCGCATTGGGCTTGGTTGGGCACAGCAGGCGACTAACCATACCTTAGGAGTTGGCAGCTGGGCTGTAGCAAGACGGTCTGCGCGATATCAGCTTGAACCCATTGATTTTCGTAACAGCAACAGCACTGTTGAGTCAGTTATTGTGAACGTCACCCGTATAACGGAGAATAACCGTGGTTTCATCGAAAACGAGTATAGGGAAAATAGTAATGAGTCTGCCTAAAAATGTAGTTTAATGTACGACAAAGTTGGAATAGTCTGTAATCACTTTACTTCTACAAGTCACGAAGTTTACTAAGTACTGTATTTCTGACCTGGTAGGCTGCGTCATGTTGAGCATATTTTCCTCGTGTAATCGTATCTCGCAACCTGTTTTACAATACAGTAGATATATTGGAATAACAACCCAATTCTGACGGTTTAAACGATACTTAATACTGAGTGGGTTGTGACTCGTCAATGTCATAGATCAGCATAGGTCGTAGCCTGGCTAGCCGTCTTGTAGTTAGTGAAGAAAAGTCGTTCTACATAGGTCGCGACTTGTGACATAACCTCACATGACCGTGTCGGATCGGCTGTGTATTTCTGATATATTTTAGGGCGCATTTCAATGGCAATGTCTTCCGAATCCAAGATTTCTCAAATCTCAAATCCGTTAGATGTAAGCTTGGGACTTCTCTTTTACAATATGCTCATTGGGATTTAACAGCCTTTTGCCTTCTTCTCCTCTGTTACCCTACTTGGACTAGCGAGCACCAATACACATTTGTCACGAACAGAATCATTTCCGCCAAAGCGCAACACCTATGACCGAAAAACTCCTGGACCGGAGGGATTAGAGTCTGACTGGGATCCTATCTCTCCTCCTGTTGACCGACTACACGCGGATCTCGAAATTGTCGACCAGCTGAGCGAAGGGAGAATTGGGATGGTGTTCACGGCACGGCTCGTTAACTTACGAAGATCTTTGCGTGGCGAAATTGCTCCCGCTCACTCTCTTCCACTCCCATCGCAATTCTGCGTCAAACTGGCTAAACCAGAATACATTCGGAGCCTTGCACGGGAAGCCTGGTTCTACGAGCAACTGTCGAAAAAGGAAGGGTATCCAGGCGCTGTTACTCCCGTCTGCTTTGGATTTTTTACCTGTCCGCTGGCTAGTGAATCTGATGTTCAGATCCCCGCATGGTCTTCTGTACGCATCCAACCAGAGGCACCAAGTTATACCCGGGCAGGCGAGGAGCCCGTTTATGATTTTTACATAGATGATCGGGACGTAAAATACCTTCACTCTTATTTTGATGACGACCGAACCTCCCACCTTAAATCTCGGTGGCACTTGAAACAGTGGCGAGAAAGGGCGGATCGATCTCCGGTTGTTGGAACCCTTATAACAGAGCGAATAGGTGAACCTCTCCGGCCCAAAGACTTCCCTAATGCAACTTCCACGATTCGAAAGGGTGTAAATCATTTTTCAAAAGAGGCCGAGTGAGTGCCGGATGATTTCAACATCTTCGATGATCTCTCAATATTCTTGGCACTGTAGAACTGAAATCATGGTGCTCTTGGATGACTTGAATGCTGCGGGTATTCTGCACGGCGATGTGAGATTCAACAACATCCTTCGGGACCTTTCGTCTGGCTCTGAACTCAATCATTGGTTCTCAGCCGCTAGTCAAATCTGCCCGCGACACAATCAAATACACCTGTACAGAATCATTGACTTTGACCGGGCGTGCAGATGGAACACGGATAATCCAGTCGATCAGTGGCGTTTTGCAAGAATCCAAAGTACCACATTGGAGGAGCCACCGTTTTGGGGTGATTGTACGCAGTGATTGCTGCACACGATGGAGCTGTTTCTAAAGGAGGCTTGATGAAATTCTGTGGTTGGTAGAGTGCGGCTGGCTTGCAGATGTTGACCTTTAGAACAAGGAGTCGTAGTAGCTCGTTATGTATGTTCTAGATCACTACGTATAGGGCACTTCTTGCGCTTCGTGATATCGATATAATCAAAGACTGAGCTGGAACAAAAATTGGACTGAATGTTCTGGTTCTACTGGCCAACGTGGGGATCGAACCCAAGACCTTCGCGTAATACACATGAAACGATTTACTATATTAGCACGACGCTCTAACCAACTGAGCTAGTCGGCCATAAAATGCAAGAAATTTCCTGAGATTGAGTCTGGGTGTCGGGCGCCTATCGACTACTCTTTCTGCTTTATGACCAAATTGAGAAAAGAGTCTCGGGATATTCCATCCTCCCCATCGAAACCTCTCCGAATTCTCGCGTCTGGTACTTTGTTCTATACTCACACTCTAGCTGTTCCATGCCATCCAGCTCCATCAACAGTAATTCGGGCTCACTCGGTGACAAAAACTCGCGGGGGCTCAGCTAGCTCTATACTTTCTCTCCTGGCTCAGTTTCCTAGCACAGTAGAATCCATCCTCGTCGCATCTCTGGGAGGAAACAACGAGGGACAAATTCTTATCAAGAATTTGGAGAAAGAGGGCGTTCAGACCAGATATTGTAAGGTATGGCCTGATTCTGGAGTTCCTAGTGCTTGGGTTATTCAAGCCAGTACGTTTTCTTTTCTTCTACGCACGTATAAATATTGACTTGCTGTTAGCTGAAAACGATACCCGGACTGTCATAAACCACAATCCATTACCAGATATAACACACGAAGAATTCGTGTCTCTGCTCGGACCCCTGCTCATTCCCGAGAATTACATGTTTTCTTCCCCTTTGACGTCCCCGACGTTGCCCACAGCTCCAGGAACAAGCACAAACGCGTCGTCTCCGATGCTTACGCCGAACAACAGTCCAGCACCCTTTGACTGGATCCATTTCGAAGGACGTTCCGTCAAAACAACACTCAGCAATATCACCGGCCTCGATGGTTTAGCCCGCGAACGAAAATGGCGAAGTCACTGTGTTTTCAGCGTCGATGTAGGCCGACGAAGTCGCCAGGGAATCGAAGCGGTGAGTCTTCTATACCTTCTACTTGGTCTAAAGTATAAACTCAAAACTAACTCAGAGTTCGCGAATTCACTTCATTTAGCTCATCCCTCACGCAGACGTCCTATTCCTCAACAAACACTATGCGCAGACTCATTCGCCGGACTACGCGACCACTCCACGGACATTCTTACTCTCGCTCATGTCCATCGCACCTCCGCACGCGCTTCTCGTCGCCCACTGGGGCTCAGAAGGCGCTGCCGCCCTCTCGCTCCCTACAAAAGAATATTTCCAGAGCTCGGGCTGGGTGTCGGATTCTCCTAATACTGCACATTCGTCCGTAGCTCAAACCGGCACCAACGCCGACGATATAAGATCTGTACGAACAGGTAGTGATTTCTGGGCCGGTGGAAGGAGTAGCACGCTTTCCTCGAGCGCCTTTACTGCTCAAGACAACAGTACCTACCTTGGCCACCCTTCCGCGAATTCAAAACATCGGTCACGTTCCCGTTCGCGTGGCCCGAGTCCTGTTACCTCCGGACTCGACGAGGATGACCATGATTCCGATTCTCAGGGGACTGAGGTCCCTTTCGAAGGGGAAGGAGACGTAGATGATGGAGTTGTGGATCAAGTCGGAGCGCAAGACGCGTTTGTATCTGGCATGATCTATGCGTTGAGCAGGAGGCTTGTCCCGGGTGCTCCCTTCACTCCTTCGTCTCGCGGTGAGGATGTTTCGAACTATAATACCAAAGGAGAGAATGACAGAGGAAAGTGGAGGTTGGATGAATGTCTCCGGTGGGTCTGTCGCGTTATCCATAGTTGTGTGATAGCTGATTATTTTGACGTAGGTTCGCTACCGAACTCGCGGGACGTAAAGCTCGAAGACGAAATTGGGTGGGGTTGGCAGATGAGATGGCGAGAGCTGGGTGGTTTGATGGGTAGATCTTTGCAATGCTAGAACGCCAAGTACATACGAATATACCACAGCAAGTGCTATGTACCTCAAACATAGGTTGGAGTGGAGCACACCACTATCTAGAACAGGCTGCCAACCTCACTTCCACTTCCACTCATTAGCTTGTCAATACGTATGGCTTCGTGGGGAAATGGTAACGTGTTTGACTTTCCCAATTGCGTGGTCGACTCCTGGGGTCATATTAGGAGTGTAGGGATATTTTTTTTCTTTCAAGTCTAGTAAAGATGTTCCAGCAGTGCATATATTTCAAACCATTCCGATGCAACCTCCTTACACATGGATATATCGCGATGTTTTTTGCGAGGGAACTGTCTGGGAAACTCGGTTTTCGGTCCTCTTGTACTATTTCTGATACTTAACTCATGCTACCTACCCAACCAAATTATAATCCAAATTATAATCTACTATAGGGTGTGAACGGCTACGCAAACGCCAAAACAAGTTTATACGTTATAAAGAAATACAACGGCCCAGGACACATAATGCGGTATGGGTCTACCTTGGTTTACTTACTCCGAATCCGCGTTCTCTTCAGCCTCGATGATTTTCACCCCTTCATTCTTCAACATTGTAATAATCTCCTTCCAAAGCGCATCGAGCTCCTCATAATCATCCTGGATGAACTTTGCATATTCTGCCACTCCATAGCCAATGCAAACGGGACACGGCATGGCCCATCTAAAAAAATAAATCAGATAAGAGTTGAACAAAAGGGTTAACAAAAGGAGTATGTACCCGCAATTGGTGAATAATTCCGGAAATCTATATGAATCAGTTCTGGATCAGCACTTGACCCCGGATAGACAATAAGCACTCGCCTCCCACTGAATCCCCCACACCCCGGGCACACCTCCCTAGAGTTCTGGCACTCTGGGCAGACAAAACGCCGCCTGAGGAAGCTTGCAGAGGCTTTAACGAGCCCCCCACGCAGCTTTTTGTATTTCACTGACTTGACTAGACGAGTGGATTCTGGATTGGGCGTCCTATCACCTTGAAGAACTAATTGCTCCATAGCGATATCGATAGCAATCGCCGGATCATAATCGCTGTAGTTACGCATGAATCTGGGGTAGTATATATCGACCAGAAGCTTTTGTTCGTTCTGAGACGAGTCTGCGGTGGACTTCGTGGGGGTGTCACTGGCGGCGGTCTCAGCAGAGCTGGATTTGGATGAACGATAAACTTTGCGAACATCTGTGATGATGAATGGTTTGGATCCCAATTCTTTAGAGTGCGCATCCTCGATGAGTAAGATGGTTCGTTTGTCGCGAGCAGCCTCGAGGTGCTCTTTTGCCAATTCAAGAGCGAGGAGGTTGTTGAATGTTTGGCATGTGAGAATGAGGCACCGTTTATCCGACAGGGAGAGGTGTGAGATGATAGTGAGTTGGAGTTCTGGAGATATCGTGAGGAGAGATGGTGAAGACATAGAGAAGGAGAGTGACAGGGGTAGTTTTCTATGAGTAATATCACCAAAAGCATGATTGATGTCGGATCGGCCTGGAACGGCACGGTACGGTAACGAAAGGTTCTGTCTTTAAGATGCTTTGCATCGTGAGCCTATGGCTTAATGTGACGCAGAGTGGGTGAGCTCTGAAATCCCGTATCAGTAGAATCAACATTTAGTTACACTTTCTTGGATTGCTGGAGTGTGGGGACTTCCATCCAGACAACGATCGCGACTTGCGAGTGTGGGCCATCGCGCCAAGCGCGTGGCAGGTACAAGTCCTGTAACCTATTATTGTCATTTTATAAGTGCAGAAACATGTATCTTCAAAAATCAAATCTTCTCATTCAAGATGCGACGTATCATCCATGACCTACTTCCCCATCGCCGGCACCCACCCTGCACTAGTGGACGTTAAAACGTCGATGTTAGAACATCCTCGATTCCTTATGGCACAGGTAGGCTAGAGAAAAGATTGACTCGTAACTGGCTAGAATTTCTGCTGTTTTGTCCTTGACGAGTTCTGAAATTCTGGGCCAACCTCTAAGCCTCTCAAGCACAGTGAAGTGAAGCTGTGTCTCTGCTTAACTAGGATATTGGGTAATGGTTTAAAGGTGTTGGCATTGATAATGAGGTAACTTTGAGGTCCTGAGGAGAGCAATCTGGTATCGACAATGTTTTTACAGATAGAATGGCCAGAACTGTCACAGCTATAATATCTTTGCTCACGATAGGTGCTGCAAACAGAGATTTGTGAGCAACGAATAGAAGCCCAAGTCAATATACTTGCTGAGAACACAGCTATTGTTCTGTATCTCTGTTTGTTCTTCAACGACATTACAAGCCAGTATCTCCTGCTTTTGAAGTTACATTGCTGAAAGGGCCAGGCAAGGAAGGGCTTCTGGCATTTGGAATTGAGCAAATGCTGGCTTGTTCAGCGGTAGTAGAACTTGCTGCCCATGGACATTTGAAAACATCCATCTCATGTACAGTCTTTGACCAGCCAATGAGACATACCTTTCAATGAGACAAACAATGAGAACGGCCACGCCTTCTACTTGTACACTTCCACAAATATTTTAGGAATAGATATATATACATTTTACACTCTCTGAACAAGTTCTCGGTCCAAGTAGCCCATTGATGCTTATCCTGTATTAAGGTTTTTCAAGAGCCTAACATGAAATCATCAGTTTTGGTAGTATGGGCATGGTTGTTAAAGGGAGTAACTTCGGAGTAAGGAGTCCCGCCCCCTGCCTCTTCTGCTTCCGGTATTGGTGGGACGTGTTTCGTCTACGGTATGGTTTATCCTCCTGAGGGGAGGATTATTCACCCTTCCTTTTTATATTATTTGTCTTACCTATTTCGTTTATCCGAGTGCCTCTCATTGACTTGGCAGTTTCATGGAGTTACTTATATACAGGACATGTTGTCCTTTACCCTCAGTTGTTTGTCTTACGCACTTCTGAGGGTAAGTTTACTTTATTTATTCCCCTGTAATACTCATGCTTACGCTTGTGTATCTAGCTTAGCTTATACATGTCTTACAGGTACAATAACGAGTCGTTTGTCTTATGCACTTCTGAGGCTTAGCTTATACGTGTCTTACAGGTTATGGGCCCCGCCTATCACTGTTAAACACATTTCATTTATCCTCGAATAAGCGACTACACAAATCCTAAAAATGGCTAGTAACGGAGCAATACTGCCCCCGCTACCTGATATTCCTGAAGACCAAAAATTCGACGGGATACGACTAGCTTGGGCACCGA